CAGCCGTTCCGCCTGCCAGCTCCAGTGCTGCTCCGCTGGGGCGGCCCTGGCGGTGGGCGTCCAGCGCTGTCGCTGGCGGCGCAGCTGCACCTGGGCCAGGCGAGCGCCTTCGCTTCTGCCGCGGTAGCGGTCTGCCTCGCGGCCTGTGCCCAGGCCGAAGTGCTGCAGCAGCTCGCCCTCGTAGCGGTCGAGGGCGCGGCTGCAGGCGGCATCCAGCCCAGCAGGCGTCACCGCTGCGTCGATGTCGTCGATCACGTCCTGCCAGCCTGGCGGGGGCAGCTGCGGTCCGATGAGCGCCTTCACGGGGAAGGGCCGCGGCCTGCGTAGGCGTAAGACCGTCGCGCCAGGCGGAGGGAGGGCCAACTGCAGGACGACGGCCCTGTGAGTGCGAACCGCGAAGCGGTCGCACCTGCGAACCGACCGCACCGCTGCCTCTTGGCCCACGCAGAAGAAGTCGATCTCCCGAGCAGCCTTGTGCGTGACGCAGGTAGCTGCCCTCGAGCATGCCAACCTCGCGTCCAGAGACAGTAGAAGCTGCGCCTCCTCCACCACCTCTGGAGTCATGTTCCAGTCGGCCACGACCACGAAGGGCCTGCGCATGGCTCGAATCACTGAGCCGAGGTTCATCATCAGGTCCAGGTTGAAGTCGCTGAGACCCTGACTGGTGTGAAAGTACGCCGACACCAGCAGCGTGCCTTCACGATCGCCGAGGGAGGTCATCCAGAAGCCGAGGCGGGCCGAGCAGCGAACGGCGATGCGGTCATCGGTGAACTCGACGCGCGGGAAGTGCACCCATGGGCGAACCAGGACTCCAACGCCAGCAGAGGTGCTGCCTTTAGCTGTGGCCACAGCAGGGATCAGGTCAGCAATCCAGCCTGCAGCGCGAGCGGCGCGAGCCGCCGAAGCCAACTGGCGGGGCTCGGCCAGGTGGTGCTCCTGGATCAGGATGGCCTGGATGCCGTCGTCGACGTTGCCCTGCTCCAACTGCGAGAGGCAGGACGTCCAGCATGTCACGTTCACAGTCGTGATCTCGACGTGCCCGTCCCGAGTGCGCGCAGTGCGGTCTGGCCGCGGCCCTCGCCGCTTGCCCTTCGCAGCCGAGCAGCATCCCGCGGTGCGCCCAGCGGTGGCTGCCGCGGGCCCAGCCTCCGCGCCAGGCCAAGGGGGGCCCCCGCGAGCAGCGCCGCCGCCAGCGGCCAGCACGCCACCAGCGCCATGAGCTCCAGGAGCCACTGGCCGAAGGGCACCGCGTGGAGGTACTCTACGGGCAGGTGGTGCCTGTTGTAGAACCGAGCTGCCAGTAGGGCTCGACGTCGCACTGGTAGAGGAACGACATGGCCCGTGCCCACTTCGTTGGCCACTCCCGTTGACGACATTGGGAGTGGCACCGTGGGGGGGCGCCTCCCATCCTGCAGACGACCGGTGGGCAGGCAGGTGGATGCCGTAGGAGCCGAGGTCGTGTGCGCCGACGGCTCTGAGGAGCCAGTGGATGCCGTTGCCGTTGTCGAACGCTTCAGTCTCCTGGTGCAGCGCGAGGAGGTGCTCAAGCAGCTCGTGCAGCCACGCCCCGGGGTCGTCGATGCGCATGCGGGCCAGCCAGGCGCGGTGCCGAGCTCGCGCAGCGCGGCGGCGTCGAAGGGCAGCAAGGCAGATGTCGATGGCCATATCGACTCGCGCCGCTCCAGGATTGTCGTGCCCATCTCGCCGCGCGCGCTCCCAGACCAAAGCTTGGAAGCTCTGGTGAGTAAGGAAGCGGGCAACGATAGGGACGCAATGCTGGCGCCAGTGCAAGCCGTCCCTTACCTCGTCGTCCGTCATGGGGTCCTCCAGCCAGTGACCAGTGCACGTGCGCAGTGCCCGCTGCAAGGTGTCGAGGCTCGCGAGGCCCTCGCGGCGAGCTGGGCCCGCATCCTTGAGCGCGTACTCCCCGAACGATTACTCCCTGCTCGAAACCCCCTGGATGCGTGTCCTCGCCGCGCCTTGGCCTCGCAGGCGGCCGCGCCGAGTGCGCCGCTGCCGCTGGGCAGCAGGCGTGGACTCGGGGGCCTCCTCGAATATGTCGTGCCTGAGTGCTCCGTCAGGCAGTGGGCCTGCGTCAAAGCCCCGACTGATCCTTATCAGCGCCCGCAGGGGTGGCCGCCTCCTTGCCCGTGCCTCCGCTTGGAAAGCTGCGGCCTCCTTTGGCAGCTCGGCCCTTGCCGCTCGCAGCTGCCTTGCTGGCGGCGAGGCGCTGGCGGCCTGCCTCCAGGACGTCCACAGCAGCAGCCACCGCGCCTGGGGCGCCCGCTCCCGCAGCAGCAGCAGGGGCGGCTGGCGAAGGGGGCGGCGGCGTCGACGGGGCGGCAGCCTGCGAGCCGCCAGCGGGAGGCGCTGCGGCTGGCTCTGCAGGCGGCTGATCACCACCTGCAGGACCTGGTGCACCCGAAGCCTCCTGCGGCGGCTGAGGCGGCGGGGGGGTCGTGGTGCGCCGCTTCTTATTGAGTCGGGCGCGTAGCTCGCGGTGAGCCTTCTCCAGCGCCTCCGCCTCCGTCTTGAACTGGCCGAAGGCGTCTTGAGCCATGGCTGCGAAGCGCGCCTGGAGCTCCTCGAGCCGCCGCTGCGCCTCCTGCCGATCGCTCTCCTCCACCTCGTAGTCCTCCAGGGCCTCCAGGCCGAAGAGACCCTCGTCGTCCAGCTCCCACGCCGCCTTGCCCGCCAGCAGTGCTGAGACGCTGAGCTTGGGCACCGCCGAAGCGGACGGGCCTGGCCTGCCCTCAGTGCCCGCTGGCGCCACCGACACCGCCAGAGCCTGCACCGCACTGGTGTAGATCGCCTGCGCGCCGCCCAGGGCGGTGGTGCACTTGGCGACCCTCTCCGTGGCTTGGTCGAGCCGCTGCTGGAGTGCATCCGCCTCCGCTAGCGCGTCGTCCAGGGCGTCGGCAGCAGCGTCCCGCGCAGCGCCAGCCTCCGCCACAGTGAGGGGCCTGGCCAAGCGCTGGGCGCGGAGGATGTCCAGCTGGTGCTTATACTTGGCGACGGCGGGCCCGTCGCCTGAGAGGCGGAGCAGCTCCACCAGCTGTGCCAGCTTGGCCTCATCAGGGTCGGCGTCGGGCGCCAGAGCTTGATCCTTGCCGGCCACGATGCGCACCCCTCGGCTGGTGCTGCGTGGGCGTCCTCCAGCGCCGCGGGCTCCGCCGTCGGGGGCTCCTCCGTCACGGCGCGACCCCGCGGCACCCTGGCGCCAAGGGGGGGGCGCGAGCATCGCGTCCGCGGCTGGCGGAGGGGCGGCGGCTGCCAGCGCCACCACGAGCAGCATCGCCAGCTGGCACCAGCTGGAGCGGCCGCTGGCAGTGGCAGCACCATGTCCACCAGTGCTCGTTCTTGCGGCACCCGCAGTGCGCGCAGGCCTGGGCGCGCCCGCTGCCGCTGCCGCCGCCAGCCAACGCCATGGCGTCGTCGTCGGCCCCTGTGCCGCCGCCGCGGGGCACCGCCGAGCCGTGGTGCCCGTCCAGCAGCGCCGCGGCGGCCTCCAGCCTGGCGCGCTGGCGGGGGGAAGGCGTGCCCCGCCACGCGTGAAGTAGGGCGCGTGCAGCTGCACGCGCGCGACGCTCGCGCCTGTGCCACGCCGCCTCCGTGGGCAGCGCGATGGTCCCCGCCCGAGGGGGGCCCGCGGCGGCCTGTCCGCCCCCAAGCCCTCGGGCAGAAACTTGAGGAGGAGGAGGAGGAGGAGGAGGAGGAGGAGAAGGAGGAGGGGGAGGAGGGGGAGGAGGAGGAGGAGGAGGAGGAGGAGGAGGAGGAGGAGGAGGAGGATCCTCCTTATGGCCGACTCTGTCTTCCATCGGCGGCTGGGAGCGAAGCCTCAGGTCACCGAGGGCGCAATCAGTCCGGGGGGGTCATGAGGCGATTTCCTATTGCCCGATCGGTGTATAGAGTTTCGGCGAGCCGTTTTGCCTGATACATTCGGAAACTCTCGTCGTCCCGAAATTCTATAGACCAATCGGGCCTTGGAATTTTCTCTTATAGTTTTCGAATGTTCCAGCACTCCCCGCGGTCACGGAAAGTGGGCGACCGCATGTGGACACCCCCGCTGGGGATGCAAACGAAGTTCCACATGGAGCACAACCTGAATGAGACATGCGACGACATTGCCAAGGGGGGGGGGGGCCTCCGCGCCGGGGCCATGCGCGCAACTGCGGGGTGGGTCGCGGGTGGGTCGCGGTGTGGGTCGCGGGTGGGACGCGTGTGGGTCGCGGGGTGGGAGGCGATTGGGTCGCGGGGTGGGTCGCGTGTGGGTCGCGGGGTGGGTCGCAGGTGGGACGACGTTAATACACAAGAGCAACAAGAACAACAAGAACAACAAGAACAACAAGAACAACAAGAACAAGAACAAGAACAACAACAACAACAACGACGACGACGACGACCACAACAACGACAATAACATCAACAACAGCAACAACAACGCAACAAGCAGAATCCTCACCACGGATCCTCATTTCAGCCACGCACCCAGGGACAATGAATGACTGCTCGGCCCACTCACTCTGATCCTAGATTTCGGTGATGGTGGTGATCCTCTGGCCACCTAGGAAGCCCGAATCTTGCTACCATCACCGAGATCGGGATAATCTTCCCTCGGGAGAGGCACACCGCTGGTATTGGTGTTGGTGTCAACCTCGAAAGGCCTCCGACCAAAGCGTCCTGGGACGCCCTGGGTCGACGTATCCCGGCGCTGGGTCCGCCCGGCGCTGCCTCACAGATGGGGGTCGGAGGACCGCGCCGCAGCGTCGCGGCGCCGATGCAACGCTGGATGCACTGCATTCGGCGACCGCGGCGTTGCATCGGCGACGCTAGCACGGATAAGTCCGGGCTCCACAGCGAGCCGCGTTCCCCCTGCATCGGCGATGCGGCGCGATCCTCCGGCCGCATCCCCTGGGACCCAATACTGGAGGTCTCGAGAGCCCAAGGGGTGGGGGCCAGGGTGGGACATCCAACATCGGGGGCACCAGATGCAGTGATAGGTGGGAGAGGGGGGAGAAGGACGAGAAAGAGCAAGAATGCGCTGGTCACTTCTTCCATACTTCGGACCGCGGCGCCAATGCGCTGCTCCGAGTCAGAGGACGCGCAGGAGGAGGGACGGGGAGGGCAGGGAGGAGGCAGAGGAGGCCGTCCGCCGCAGATGCCCACGGCTGGCGGTGTGCCGTTCCTAGGCGGACGTCCACGCGGGCGCGCCGTTGATCTTCACGACGACTGCCGTCATATTGTCTGTGCCAAGCCCGTCCGTCTTCTGCGGGTCTGGGCTGAGGCATCGGTCGAGCAGCTCGACCCCCACCTGCGCCACGTCCATGCCCTTCAGGAGGCGCTCGCGCACAAAATCGCAGGCCTCCTGATTGGTCAGCACGTCCCAGACACCGTCGCAGGCTAGGATCCGCCACTGCGCCGCAGGCACTGAGTTGGGGTCCTCAGGTCCCTTCGATGTCTGTGCGTTGAGTATGCTTAATTCGGCGGCGAGCCTGGAGGGGAAGTGAGAGGGGGCGTGCCTTCCCAGAGCGCTCGGAAGGCCTCGGGCCTTCTGGGAAGCTTCCTGAGCCTTCCCAGAATTCACAGAACACTTCTCAAAGGTGCGAGGGCTTCTGAAACGCCCTCTAAGAAGGCCTGCTCCTTCTCACTCCCCCCCTAGGCACGCCGCCGACTAATATTCTTGGTTGTTTGTCTCTCTCTCTCTCTCTATCGCTATCGCTGTCTCTCTCTCTCTCTCTCTCTCTCAGACACCCAGCCCACGGATTCATGGGATCGTGGCGCGTGACTCTCGGGGCGCGCTGCGTGCCTTTTCCCGAGGCCCAGCACCATCAAACGCACACACAAACACGTACTCACACACACACACACACACACACACGCACACGCACACGCACACGCACACGCACACGCACACGCACACGCACACGCCACACACGCACACGCCACACACACACACCCACACAGACACAGCGAACACCACGCACACCACACTGAAGCACATACACACACACACACACACACACGCACACCCTTTTCGATCGTCAGCGGCAAGGAGCAACTCCATGGCGCTCAGAAAAGCCGCCGACGCGCGCACGCGCCGGAGCATAAGAAAGAAGTGGCCAGCACCTCACGGGGCAGTGGCGGCAGCGGCAGCCGAGCGGGCGTTAGCCGGGCGGGCTGCCGCTGCTGCCACACACGCGCACACTCTATATTCCAATGCTCTTTGGGCTTGGCTTGGAGGGGGGGGGGGGGGGGGGCGACCTGGCCCCGCGAGCCCTCTTGTGCCAAGGTCGCCCCCGAGAAGGCCACTGCTCCCTGACAGGCGCCCAAGCGGCCCCAAGGCAAACCCGTAAGCAGCCCCAGATCGGCCCATCCCAAGGCATCCAAGAGGAACTCTCTCCCGGTACGGTCGCCCTCAATACGCAGAGCTCTAGGAGGCGTTGCATGTATCCCCTGCCTTCCCTCGGACTGCTACCCTCAACCCATGCACGGTGCGGGCCGGGCCGAAGGCCACTGGATCCGCCGCCCCCTATGATTGTCACAAGGGTGCTTGGCGTGCCAAACTTCCCCCTGCTGCGGTTCTTGCGAAACTCTTCCAAATTTAGGTCGGGCATGTCCCCTTACAGGCGGTTTTTGGATAAACAATTAAAAATCATCATAAACATTTCCAAATGATCAAAAAAGTGAACCAAATCGTCCCCAGACGATTTCTCAATACTACTTTTGAAGATTCCGCCTGTAGAGGGACACGCCAGACCTAAGTCCAAATGGCTTTTAGCCCATGGAGGCAGCCGCACGGAAGGCACCATAAAGGAGACCGTTCATCGGCCTTCCCGCTCCATCGGGAGCGGCTCAGAGGGGGGTGTCCAAGAGGGGGGGGGTGCAAATCATGACCGGCGGCATGTGCGCGGCCCAGCGGGGACGCCAGGGACGTAATGAAATAAGAAGAGGCGCCATGAAATCTGGGGAAAAATCATGGCCCCCACCATGATATCCCCCCCCCCTAGTCATCACCCCCCTCTTTTCCGCCCCCGACTCCAGATGGCCCCAAGACAACCTCCAGGACTGCAAGGATGGCCTCTCAGCTGGTCGAGGATGGTCTCAAAGACGGCCAAAGAGGGATCAAGAGGCCTTCACGCGCGCCCGAGATCCTCCTCCTCCTCCTCCTCCTCCTCCTCCTCATCTCCGTCTCCCTCTCCCTCCCCCTCCTCCTCCTCCTCCTCCTCCTCCTCCTCCTCCTCCTCCTCCTCCCACTCCTCCCCCTCCTCCTCCTCCTCCTCCTCCTCCTCCTCCTCCTCCTCCTCCTCCTCCTCCCGTGGCCTCTGGACGCTCCAAGACGGCCCTACGAGGGCCCGACATGCCCTACAGACGGCCCAAGAGGCAGGCCCCCAAGACGCCCCAAGAGGGCTCCACGAGGACTTCCACAGCGGCAGAACCCTTGACTTCCTGTCGATGCTGAAGTCATTTGGGGGATCTCGCCTTTGTTCCCAAGCATGGCTTTGCCGAAGGACTTCTCAAGAATCAATTGGTGCCAGATGCGGTTGGACCCGGCGCGATTCCTTGCAATGACCTTGGGGTCCCTGCTCTTGATTCTTGCCTGCCATCCTCGTGTTCCTAGGTCTTGCTCCTCGGGTTCCCCGGTCTTGCTCCTTGCTTGAGTGCCCTGGATAAGCCTGGAGTTTGTCCTTGCTTAAGGTTCCTCGGGTTCCCTCGTCGTGTTCTTCAGGTTCCCCGGCTTCCCTGGTCTTGGCTCTTGGTTGGGATCCTCGGACTCCCTGGTCTCATTCCTCGGGTTCCCCGGCATTGCAAAGCAATGCCAAGCAGCGCCAAGCAACGCCAAGCAAAGCAAAGCAATGAACATCCCTGCAAAGCAATGCTACGCAATGCCAAGCAGGTGTCAATCAACGTCAGGAGATACCAAGGCATACCAAGAAATGCCAAGCTATGCAGTGTACTGCAATGCGAACCAATGCCAAGCAACGAAGTCGACGCCAAGCAATGCGCCCGTGCAGTACGAAACTCCCGCCCAGTTGGAGTCGCGCCAGGTTCATCGGGTGTCTGGCGCTCCAAGATCGCCACAAGATGACTTAAGAAATCACCAAGAGGCTCACGAGACGGCCCGAGGGGGGCCCCCAGACGGCCCAAGAGGCCCCCAAGATGGCCTCAACGAACCCCAATACGGCCCCACAGACCTCCAAGATGGCCTGGAAGCACCCAAAGAGGGCTCCTTGACGGCCCAGAGGGGCCCCCAAGACGGCTTCAAAAGGCCAAGCGGCCACTAAGAGGCCTGGGAGGCCCCCAAGAGGCCCCAAAGAGGCCCCCAGAGGCTCTCAGAGGCGCCAAATAGGCCCGCAGGAGGCCTTAGTTTCCTCCTCCTCCTCCTCCTCCACCTCCTCCTCCTCCACCCCTCCTCCTCCTCCTCCTCCTCCTCCTCCTCCCCCCTCCTCCTCCTCCTCCTCCTCCTCCTCCTCCTCCTCCTCCTCCTCCTCCTCCTCCTCCTCCTCCTCCTCCTCCTCCTGTCTTCCTCCCCCTGGTGCTCCCTCAAGGGTTTCGACGACGGCTGGGGGAGCATGTAGTCGAACAGCTTGCCATGACTCCGGCCAAACGTTTGGCCTCGTAGGAGTTTCCATAAGGCAGGGGGCGGCGGTGGCTCGCCGCAGGCGTCTTCGATAAGGAACTCGTCCTCCGGCGTGCGCTGCTCCGTCAGAACGTCGGGGGTGGAGCAGATGATCTGCTGCTCTGGCGGCAGGTCGAGCCTCTTCTTGTACTCCAGGTCCCCGATGGCCCGGCTCAGGTTCAGATTGCCGTTGACCCTGGCGCCCCCGGGGGTGTCCTCCAGGTAGCCGCCGGCGGCCTCGATGCGCGCCTTCTCGACCTCCGACGCGGGCTTGTGGTCGTGGGAGAGCTCAACGGCCTGCCCTGCCCGGCACAGTACGGCCCGGCTGTCCCCCGCGTTGGCGGCCAAGATGTCGCCCTCGCGCAGCAGGACGCAGATCGCGGTGCAGCCCACGTTGTCTGCCACAAAATCCGCGCCCTTCTCCGCCTGCTCATACTTCTGCAGCCTGGTGAACTTCTCCTTCATCTCGAGCTGCTCCGCTGGCGACAGCTCGCCTCTCTGGTGCCTGGCCTGAGCGTTCGAGAGTTCCTTCTTCAGGTCGTCGACCGCACCACCGGGTACCTTGCCGACAAATTTAGCTAGCTGCTTCGCATTCGCCGGGTCGCGGAGGAGGTCGTCCATCTTGTGGAAACAGCGCTTGAGGATGTCGTCGAAGTCACTGGGCTCCAGCTTCGAGCCGCACTTGCGCTTCGCGTTTTTGTTTTTCCCGAACTTGGCCCTACCGACCTCCTGCGTCAGCTCCCGCAACTCGTCCTTGAAGCGGGCCTTGCAGAAGCTGCTGACGGCCTTCCCGCCGTGCCCGTCGAAGACGCAATAGAGCCCGACGCCAGCGAGCTCCTCCGTGATGTCGGCGATGGCGATGTGAGCATCCTCCAGAGCAAGGCTCGGGGGGCCGGAGACAGAAAAGAACAGCAAGAACACTGCCGAACCCAGAATCTCGAAACTGCCCACCCTTCCTCCTGAAAACCAATACTGGGCCACATCAGACCCCTAGCCGGCTCCTATCCTGGGAACCACGCGTATATGCAGTATATGGGCCCTGAATGGGACTTTGCAGAAACAAAGCAGGACACCGTATAGTGTATAGCTTTCTGGCCTGCTCTGCCGAAGACATGTGTTAAACATCCTAACTGTATGGCTATGACACAAAAAGGTGGCTGTGTGCCGCCATCTGCCACTGAGTGGTGGACAAGCATAACAAAGTACAGTGGACAATTTCCGCCCACGACATCCTCCACCCTCACCCCCTAGAGTGACCCTGGGTAAGAGTGACCTTTGGTGTGCGGCATTTCGGGGGGCCGCGGGGGGGGCCAAACACAAACGCGCAAAACGCTGCTGCCGCATCGCGTTCAGCGATCGGGGGACCCCAGTGGGCCCGCACCATAAGTCGCTCCCGAAAACGGTTACTCTTACGTCTTGTCGACTTGGGCGCTCCCAGCTCCCGGCCCACGGTGGCCCGCAGGCAGCCTGCAGGGCGGCCTCAGCAGGCCAACCCCGCGCGCCAAGCTGGGCGCCGCCGGCTTCGGGGGCCGGGTCTGCCTCTGGGTGCTGCCCGGGTGCCACTCCGAGGCCGTGCCGCAGCAGGCTTCAAACAAACTTCCGCCCGAAGACAGGATGCACTATACGCAAGAGCCCTCGGCGGTGGGCGAGGGTCCTGGTGGTGGATTTTTAACGTGCGAAGAACGGTATAACATAAACTTGTTCGCCGTCGGGGACACCTGCCCCAGGGCGGCTAAAAAGTTTATACCCTTACGGTGGCACCGTAAGGGTATAAACTTTCCAGCCGCCCAGGGGCAGGTGTCCCCGACGGCGAAAAAGTTTATCTTATACCGTCATTCGCTCGCTGAGGTTTGGTATATCAGATTCCCCCCTGGGGCGTGGTTCTGGCATGCTGACCGTGATCCTGGGCGGTGGAATCTGACTGGGGCCAAGAGGGCGTGGTACACAAAGCATCGTGAGGACATCTGCTGCTACAAGGAACGCGCAGACCAGGGACGGCGCTCCTTTCCGGGCCCGCAGTGTGGGGGTGCAGGAAGAGCGCCGGAGGAACAACCATACAAGAACCTCAGGAACAGCGAAGCCATTCCGAGCCAGAACCTCTCGTTGTTTCAGCGCCCTGACTGCATAGAAGAGAAGCTCCACGTGGGGCCCCCGAGGGCGAGACATCGTCCAGACCCTGCTCATGTCTGACCCCTCCTGGGCGTTCCTGACAATTCGGCTTCTGCTGGCTCCAGAGGCCTCAAGGCAAGGGGCCCATCCTCCCTAGATGGGGATGTAGGCCGCATCATTCGGGTTTCGAGGGGAGTATCCCCAACTGGGGGGGGGGTAATTTGGTGGGGGTCTCGAAGGGGATGGGGATGGGGATGGGGATTGGTTAAACGATACTGAGCTTCTGCTGGCTCCAGAGGCCCCAAAGGGCCAATCCTCCATGTCCATCCTCCAGCCCTGCATCGCCGTGGCGGACCACCGCACCGCCTCGGTGCCGCCCACCTCGGAGGACTTCTCTGTGACCGGCTTCGGCAGCAGCGCGCCCATGGCTGCAAGCCCTCTGGGCGCGTGTCCAGCACGCGCACGATCGGCCGACGGTGGCGCCCCAGGCTGATGGGCAAATGTTCCACCACCACCACCACCACCACCACCACCACCACCACCACCACACGTAGGACGGGGGAGAAGGGAGGATGAGGAGGTCCTCCTCCTCCTCCTCCTCCTCCTCCTCCTCCTCCTCCTCCTCCTCCTCCTCCTCTCCCCTACCTGTGGTACTGGTTGTGGAAAATGGGCCCATCACAGGCCACAGGAGGTTGGGCGCGGGGCGCCAGAGGAATGGGGGGGGGCTCGTGGCTGCGGAGTGAAGCGAGCACGAGGGCGAGGGCAGGGTAGGGGGAAAATATGGACACGAAGGCGACCACCCGCCGCCCATGACGACGCCGACGCCGACCAAGCGGGAGCTCTGACAACCAGCGGGACGCTCGCGCTACCGTCAGGGCCGCCTCAGGGGAGGAGGCGGAAGAGGAGGCGTGGTTCGGGGAGCAAGAGCCATATCAATGACACGCCGCCGTGGGAAGCCATCAGCTGGCTACTGTTGAGGAGACACCAAGCCTTCGGACACAGAGCGAAGGAGGAATACGCCGACGGGCTACCGCCAGCAGCGTGCCATGGTTACTCCTGCTTCCTACCAAGGGATGCCCAGACGTTGACACCACCATCACGGTGACCTGAGCAATACCACCACCACCACCACCACCACCACCACCACCACCACCACCACCACCACCACCACCGAGATCAAAGGGGCACCCTCCCGCGATGGAGGCGACCCCTGGCTCTGGCGGTGTCAGCTCTTGGGAGTCCGAGCCGAGCCCATCCCTCGAGTCCAGAGTCGCTGCTATGCTTAAGGCCACGTTCTCGGGCCGAGCCCGCCAGAAAGGCTTGCGCGGGCGGAGGCGATGCCTACGGCGGCCGAGGCGGCAGGGAGCTCAAGCTTATCTTCTTCATGCGTCTCCTCCTCCTCCTCTTTTTCGCCTCATCCTTCCGCCGCATCCTCTTCGTACTCCTTTTCCCTATCCTTCCATTCCTCCCTTTTTCTCTTCCTGTACACATCTCTTCTCCCTCCTCCCCTCCTCGTAGTCTCCCTCCTCCCTCTCCTGCTCCCTGGTCCTCCCGTCCTCATCCTCCTCAAAATCATCCTCGTTTTCCTCTCCCTACTCTTCCTCCTCCTGCTCCCAACTCCCGACTCCCTGGTTCATCTGGCTACCCCCTCCTTGCCCTCCTTCCATCCGGACCTTGTTCATATTCCTCTCTCCATCATTCCCCTGCCTCCAAAGGTGTCCCCTTCTCTCCCCCGCTCATCCACACAATTCGTGGAGACAGCAACTACCGCCACGACGCGGAGAAACGAACACGGGCGACGCCCTGGATCGGCGTAGCCTGTCGCCTGCTTGCGCCGTGCATTGTGTGCAGCCTGAGCAGGCCATGCACATCTAAGCAGGCAAGTGCCCACCAACGTCAAGCCGCTCTCCTCCACTGGCTCCAAATGGCACGGGGATCCGCGGATTCCGCTGCGTGGGAGACCAAACAACTGTGAGGTATGGCCCCGCGTCAGCCGCATACTACATGGGCGCCTACACCACCGCCAACCCCTAGAGATTGAACGCTGCGGCGCCAAGGGAAACAAGTCGCCGATTGCTGCTGGAAAACGATCTGCCCAGGCCCACTTCCTCTGCCGCCTGCTTGGCCGCCGCAGCGTGCAACTTACCTGCACGTGGCCAATAATCACCGCCCAAAATTCACCGGCTGCGGCGGGAGCCCCGAGATCTCCGAGCGACGAAACATCTCGGCGATGTGAGAAACGATGGGCCAAAACGTCCACCACCAACGCAAACCCCTCGGCCGCGGGCTGAACCTCCGACACGTTCGTCCTCAAAGCGCCCCCGTGCCAGGAGCACGCGTCGGAAGGTTTGGTCGGGCTCATTGATTCTTTGGCCGCCTCGACGAACGTCAGCACTGCATCGTTGCACTTGCCACGTCAAAGCGCTAAAAGCGCTTGCTGGGCAATCAGAGCCGCAGGCGTCACTGCGTGGCAACAACCTGGGCCCCAGCAGGCTGGCCCACGGTCGGTTGCAAATCCTAGCTACGTTGGAAAAAGGCCCCGCTGGTCATGACACGGGACGGGCTTTGCGTCGGGGGTATGCTCTGGACCGGACGACATGATCCGTGCGGGGTGCCCTCTGCCAAGTCGCGGGCGGATTGCGGCTCCGTGGTTGGACCGCGCGCGCGCAATGCAAGAACCTTTTTGGCTTGTTTATTGGCGAAGCTGGTCTGGAACTCATCGTGCTGGATCTTATCTTGGCTGCCATCCGCGATCGGGTGCGCCTGCTGCGCTTCGACGGACGACGACGACGGTCGGGGGCCTTCGTGACCTGCGCAAGGCGCCGCGCCGAGATGTGCGCAACGCCCGCCTGCCCTCAGAGCCTAGAGACAAAATTCTGCACTCGCAGACGCAATGCCGAAGACGGCGTTTGGCGCCATCGCTGCCAAGATGTCGCAGATTCCCAACACATTCCGCGTAACTTGTGCACGCGCGCAACGCACCGCCACAGACAATTGGGAGCCCACTTGCCCCCCGAGGGCAGAAGGAACTTAGACATCGTAAAATATCATGACACTCCTTCTGCCAGAATGGCTACGGGGCCCCTTTCTTCCCAAATCCGCCCCACCCCCTTGTGCTTGCTGCCCCGATTCTCATCTCACTGCTTCGGGCACGTCTGCGCGGAACAACTTCGATGTGATCTCCTGTGCTGGACAAGCACACCGGCGATCCGCTATTGGGACGCTGGCGCGGTAGCGGAGGCGACGAGCACCGCAGTGGCTCGCCCCAAAAGGACGGCAATCCGTTGCCGCCAGTCGCGCAGCGGCCACAGCGCACAACCCGTGCCACGGAGATGGCTCTGGTGCCGGGTGAGGCTTGCCAAGTGCCAGAGCAGACAAGTCAGCTGCGGCCCTTGCCGCCCGCCGACTTCGAGTGCAAGGGCCTGCGCGCTGGTGCCGCCTCGAGCTCCAAACTTCCTTACTTTCGCAGCCTCAGCAGCGGTCGCGCCAGCGCCGGCGGTCGCCGAATGTCCGCGGCGGTTGTGTCAGCTGGCGACTGTGAAGTCACCGTGGGGAACTGGGAGCGAGTAGTGGCCCCCAGAGCTGCACGTCCACGCGCGGCTCACACACGGTAGCACTGGCCAGCTCTGGAAAAGCGCGACTTCACGTTATTGCAGGGCTGGCTGTGCGAGCGCGCGCCGCGAGCTCGTCGCATACTCCATCATGCAGACGGTCGTTGGCTCCACCGATCATGCAAAATATCGCGCGATGTCCAGGCTCGTCGAGTGCGTGGCAACAGACACTTCCAGCGCGCGCGAGGCGCTGGCCGAAACACGCAACGCCGAAGAGCGGCGGCCGGAGACGCCCGCGGAAATCGATGCGGAACCCATCGTCCGACCAGGAGGCCACGTCCCCAGTCGCGTTGAGTCTGGATCCAAACCCACCTTCCAGACCACCTCCCGACAGCCAGTCTTTCCGCTTCCAGGGCGTCCCTGCAGAGAGTGCGGCACCACCCGTTCGGAGCATCCACAGTTAACGAAGGTTCCCCAGCGCTACGCCTACAGCTATCGCGTGTTCGAGCGAAAATGTGTGGGCAACTGTTTGCGCATCAGGCTCCGGCTGTGGGGTTCCCCGCGTGTCGAAGAAAATCCCGTTCGCCGCTAGCCCTCCAAGACAACCCCGAACAGCCGCGAGCATGCCAGAGCGCTCGTACCCGACGTTTACAGCTGGCTGCAAATGGGCGGAGCTGCGACGCAGACGTCGCCGACGAGTGGGCGGGGCGCGAGCGAGAGGGCTCATCTGCGAACGCCTGGGAGTAGGCCTCAGAGATGTCGGCGGCGCGGGCCGAAGTGTGCGAGGCCGAACTCCGAAGTTGCGCGGCAAGCGCCCTGGCGGCCACCCTTCTGTTTGGTCGGCCCTATCCCCCATACAGGGGGATTTTCGACGAAAAATACAAAAAAAAAAGGCCCCACAAATGCCCCAAGAAGGTCAACACACACACACATATATATATATATATAGATCCCCGGACTACTTTTGGATTATTTGTTGATTCTGTTTGGGGCCTTTTTTTGTATTTGTCGTCGAAAATCCCCCTGCAAGGGGGACAGGCCCGACATAACCCTTCTGCATCTCCAGCCTCTCGAGCTGCTCCCCCACCTGGGCGCAGCGCAGCTGCCGGGCTCCCCCGCCGCAGCGCGCGCTGTGCTGCAGGGCCGCCCTGCGCGGAGCGCAGGCGCGGGCTTGCGCGGCCGAGCCCGACGCATACCCAGTGAAAGGTCGGGCCTGCCCCTCTACAGGGGGTTTTCGACTAGAAATAAAACATACCCCCAAAATAATCCAAAAAGGATCCAAAAATAGTCTGGGGGCTATTTTTGGATTATTTTTTGACCTCCTCGGGGTATGTTGGGGGTATTTTTTATATTTCGTCGAAAATCCCCCTGTAGGGGGACAGGCCCGACCTAAACTCAGTGCGAGTGGGCCGCCACGTCCGCCGGGGCGTCGGCGATGAGGGCGGCGGTGCCGCTTTCTGCGCCGAGCGCATGCTGGTTGCTGTCGACGTGCGTGGATACCCTCTGGAGCTCCGCGCGGCGGATGGTGCCCGCGGCGAGCCTGAAGAAGACCTCGTGGAAGACGCTGGCGCGCCGCCGCCCTTGCCCGAGGCAGTGGGCTGCATGTGGAGCCACGGCTGCTGGTGAAGACCGGCAACTGCTGGCAGGCCCACGTCGACGCCCACCTCGAAGGTGTCCGCGTCGCGCGCGGGCTTCCGACGAGCGCCCAGGCGCGGGAGTTACGCTCCCCGCCGGGCCCAGAGTGTGCCCGTGCACGAGCGCTCCAGGTGTGCGCGCGGACCCGCTCGCACTCATTGGGGCTGCACTTGGGCGCTGGCGGGGCCGGCGGTCGCGAGGCGCGCGCCTCCGCGGAAGCAGGCGGCAGCAGCGCGGCCACCTTGCATGCGCCTGCTCTGACGGCTGGGGGAGCTGCGCCCCTGTCAAGCGCTTTGCCCTTCGGAGGTCGCCTGTGTCGGCGGCCTCCAAGGCACGATCGCACGCAGATGTAAAGTCCTGCTGGGCGGTTGGCTCCCCGCCTGCAGCGGGGCGAGGAGGAGGAGGAGGAGGAGGAGGAGAAGGAGGAGGAGGAGGAGGAGAGGAGGAGGAGGTGGATATTGTGGATGTGTAGGAGGAGGAGGAGGAGGAGGAGAAGGAGGAGGAGGAGGAGGACGAGGAGGAGGAGGAGCAGGCGGCGCGCCCCGAAGGTGCCTGGCAGGGCCGACGCCGCGCTCGGCACGAGCCGCAGCCCACCTGCGCTCCTCCTCTGAGCGGCAGCTGTGACGAGACCAAGCCGCTGAGCAGCACTGGCGAAGTGCGCTCTCGCACGGAGGAGGCGGGCGAAGCTCTAGTTACTGGGGCGGGCCGTTTTCCCCGCCGGCCTCGTCAGGGTCTGGTGGCCGTGCTGCGGCGTGCTCGCCTGGCTCGGCAAGGCGCTCGCGAAGCAGGAGGTGCGGGACCGCGAGCGCCAGGAGGTTGAGCTCCTCCTGCG